TCTCTCTCTCTCTCTCTCTCTCTCTCTCGTCCTTCCTCTTTTTCACTGTCTTAATCTCTTACAGAATATACGAGAAGACTACCTGGCATGTCAGCAGGATAAGGCTAGATTTAGCCCGGAACAGATTGTTAACAGAAATAGAAACATAAAATAGGATGACGTATTTGACGACAAAGAAAACGCCAGTAAATAAAAATATATTGCGGTGATATTATTTCAAGACACGTCTGGGTGAAAGATATCAGCTCTTTAAAGTAGGACATGACTGATCATGCATCAGTGAAGGGACGTCGCTCTGTTCTATAACTTGCTCCTCGTCATCTCAGTTACACATTTAAAATCAGCAGCAGTAATCCGAATGGGTAAAATATCTATATCAATAGAATAAAGTCATCAAAGAAGGAATGATATTTGGTTTGAAAACAAACCAACAAAGTCAACCTGAGCCAAAAGGTTGAAAGACTTGAAAGCTTCTTAAAGACAACTTAAAGACAACTCGTTTTAAAATGCCTTACTAAAAGTGCAATGGAACAGTGTCACGCACGCCACCAACCCGTCTGAGGACAAGGTCTTTGACAAATTACAAATGGGACAAAACTCACCTGGTTGGCATCTTCCTCTGTCTGCTCTATCACAGGCACCTCGTCCTCCTTGCTCATGTCAGCTACCTCCGTATCGAAAGAAACGTCCTCACTAAAGTTCACCCTCCCGGAATGTGAATGCGACAACTCCCTCCTGAGCGATCCCCCACGAACCTCCCGGCTAGAAGAAGAAGGCACGCCTCCAGTCTCCGGGCTGGACAAAGGATCACTGAACGTCCGCTTGGCAGAGTTAGAATTTTGCCTCAAGGGGCTCACAAACTCGTTGTCCTCGTACACATTATCATCCCCCTCCTCCTCGTCCTCTCCGACGTTATCGTCCTCCTCCTCCATATTCGCGTCCACGTCACTGAGGCGGTTGTTGTTGATCCTCTTCTCAGTGGCCAGAGAGCCGGCGCTCTCGTAGTTGGAGTCGTTGAGGCTGGAGGAGCTGACTCGTGTCTTGAGGTTCTCCCGTCGCCGGAGGATGGAGCGAGACTTGCGAGACGTCGGGGTGTCGACCTCCCTGAAGCTCTGGCTCTTACCGTTGGGCAGCAGCGGTTCCGGGTTCTCCTCCGGGCCAGAGCTGCTGGTGCTGATGCGGGTGGAGGTCGGGATATTGGGCTGGCTGCCGGCGCCGGGGGATGAAAGGAAAGGAAAACAAAAGTCAGTTTGTTTCGTTTTTAGTGAGCTTTTTACAGCACTTTCAACACAATTAAGTCATATAAGTGCCGAAGAATAGATGTGTTACATGAGAGTAACATACTCAAAAAAGAAGGAGGACAGATAAGGACGATAGATGTTTGATAGGAAAGATTAAGGAGCAAACCACACCAGAGCGCCCATCAACCCTCTACAAATAAAAGTGAAAAGTGAAAGTCAGTCAAGGTATTCTTTGTTTGAGTAATATTGTTTTTGTCTAGAATTCGGGCTGAAGATAAGCACATCCACAGAGATTTAATGCTGCGAACAGAGATAGACATACACAATACAGGAATAGTAAAGTATACCATCTACCAGTTACACCCTCCAACCACAGCCATAACAGTTTGTTTCCGTTTGTTAATTAATTGACCTTAAAGACTGCGAAGGCCGCTCTCTCAGAAAAGAGACAATTCGATATATTATGTTCAGCGACCACCACCTACTCGCCATGAGTGAAATACAGACCTAACTTCCAAGCGCGGGGGAGGGGGGGGGGAGGTTCCGGACACCATGCAAACGGTCACTTCAAGCCAGGAAACAAAAGAGAAAGTTGACATTGGCAATGGCAATTTATAAGATACACTGGAATGGGAGACTTTTGTACAGCCGTCTATGTAAGTGGCACAGAAGGTGGGACATGGCGATTTGTTATAATCCCCCCCCCCCTTCACAGATTCTTTTGTGTTACATTTTTAACATTTGATACTAAGGGGTGAACGACGTTTGGCGTTGACCTTCGAGAACACGAATCCTTATGATCGCCTTCTGTCTAGACTAAGGGAAGTTTCAGCTTTTCCGTTTCGTAAAATCGCGTAGTTTTTATACAGCACAAGCCTCCACCCCACCCAGGTCTTTTGGAGCTATAACAGGTAAATACAACAGCAGCATGAACTGGAGCAGAAAAATCAAATGTTCGACTTTTGGTTTTGTTTGGATTAAAGAGAGGCATGTCGACACAAAAAAAGCAAGAAAGAAACAGATACAACTGAGTGAAAGAAGAAAAAACGACATATCAGTGGCTCCCTTCAACCATCCACATAAAATCGGAGCAACAAAATAAACGAGCAAAACAATAACAAAAACAATAATGAAATAACGCTACCAAAATGGTTCGCTTCTTATGTCAATGTGCTCCCACTGCGGACTGGTTGTAACAAATTATTAGGTTTCATGACAAACAAACAGGCAGCGCAACCTTACCCGTATCAGTTTTAGTTTTAGTTTTAGTAAGGAAGGGCCCTTGAATACAAACAGGTCATTAAAGCCCCGAACAATAAAGGTGTTACTAAAGAGTTACGTACAAAGAAAAGATGGAGTGAAGATAAGGACGATGCACGTGTGATAGGAAAGAAGAGCATTCGCCAACCAGGCACCTATCCCTTTAACAGAACAATAATACACAAGTAATTTTCATATGAACAGGGGTGATGTTTACTTCAATATATCGATGTAACCTCTTTCCTCACCCTCCCCTCCTACCTTTTTCTTTCAATTCCCTTTTTGTAATGAACTGTTTGCATCAAAGTTCTTTCAACTGAATATTGTAAGCATATCATTTTGAGGGGGGGGGGGGGCCTGCATGTTATCTTCAACATCACACGTCGAGATGGAGTCACTGTACCCTTCAATCAAGGCAAACGAATCTACTCTCGATTCTGGAAAATAAATAGCGAGTACTTTGGTCTGCATTTTGGCCAACACACTGCGACTTACACTCAAGCTAATCCGAAAACAACTAAGTGATAAATATGAAAAAACCATCTATGAATCAACGAAACAGATTTATAAAATGCAACGAATTTGGCTCAACAAAGGTGGCAACAGCTGTTCAAAGTACAGAGGATTCTATCAAATATAGATATATATGTTTTGGAGCGCAAACACCGTTTCGGGTAAGATTGAAAAATCTTTGAGCGCTTCAAAAAAAAATTTTTTTTTTTTAATCTACAACTTCTGGAAAACGTATATAAAATACTTTTATTGAAATCTGGTAAACATGATTGGTACAACCCGAACATGGTCCTCTAAAATGAGAACTGAACATGATAAACAGCAAAGTCAGCAAATATAAAATACACACTTCACAAGATAAAGACTTAAGGGGGGAGGGGGCAACACCTGAAGGCTATCTTGCTCATTACTGGACCGAATTCTACCAAATTTCACACATATAACAAGCATAGAAAGGGGTCTTTAAATCCGCAATCAAATTTGAGAAAACGTTTCATTTCCATGGATACGGTGGCCATATTGGATTTTGTTGACATGTCTTACGTAATGAATACCGCACTTATCGCTCCCAGAAATTGAATGTTTTTTTGCACGC